AAATCCTGGGTCAAGCAACAAGCCACAGCCAAGATTTTAAAGGCAGCAGAGAGTTGACTGATTAGAGGCAATTAAAAAACTGAAAACCTCACGGATATAAAGTCATAACTAATTAGCTATTTAATCCAATATCTTAGCAAGTTTAACATTTCACCAAATCAACAAATGCATGAAAAGATTTATGTAATGGTCTCCTGAGCAAAGCATCTATATAAAATACAGCATTCTCAATGAGGAAATTAGGTAAAACAAAAAGACATAGAACACAAACATAATGAAATTTTCCCAGTTATGGAATCCAAGTGTGACAAATAAGCACATACCAGACTGTATCATAAAACCCAGACTACCCAAATTAATTTTATCATTTAAAAAAATCAGAAAACACAGTTTATTATAGGTATATTTCTGTCTTAGTCTGTTCAGGCTACTAACAAAATACCTTAGATGGGGTAATTTATAAATAACATAAATTTGCTTCTCACAGTTTGGGAGGCTAGGAGTCCAAGATGAAGGCACTAGCAGATCTGTGCCTGGTGTGCGCCCACCCTCTGCTTCAAAGATGGTACCTTGTTGCTAAACCTTCACACGGTGGAAGGGGACAGGGTGACCCTTTCAACCTCTTTTAAGAGAGCACTAATCCCATTCATGACTCAATCATGAGTGCTCTCATGACTTAGTCACCTCCTAAAGGCCCCATTTCTTAATACTGTCACATTGGCAGTCAAGCTTCAACACATATATTTTAGGGGGACAGAATCAGACCTTAGCAATATACTAACCAACTCATTAAAAAAGAAGAAAGTATATCTTTTTGATGCAATAGAAAATTATACGTGATTTACAGGCTGAATTGTCCTCTTAGATGTTGAATCAAATATAGAATAGTGTGGTTAATCCTTTTATGCAAATAATGACTTATGGATTGAACTGTGCTCCTCCCAAAATTCATATTAAAGTCCTAATTACAAAAGCTCACAATACAACCTTATTTGGAAATAGGGGCATTGCAGATGTAATTTTTTCTTTTTTTTGAGAGGGAGTCTCACTCTGTTGCCCATGCTGGAGTGCAGTGGCGCAATCTCAGCTCACTGCAAGCTCTGCCCTCCGGGTTCACGCCATTCTCCGGCCTCAGCCTCCTGAGTAGCTGGGACTACAGGTGCCCGCCACCACACCCGGCTAATTTTTTGTATTTTTAGTAGAGATGGGGTTTCACTGTGTTAGCCAGGATGGTCTCGATCTCCTGACCTCGTGATCCACCTGCCTCAGCCTCCCAAAGTACTGGGATTACAGGCGTGAGCCACCGCACCCAGCTGGGCATTGCAGATGTAATTATTTAAGATAAACTCATACTGGGAGTAGGATGGTCTTGCCCAACCCTATATGACTGAGGTCCTTACAAAATGGGGAAATTTGGACACTGAGACACACACAGGGAGAATGTCATGTGAACGTGAAGGCAGAGACCAAGGTGACGTATCTACAAGCCAAGGAAGCCCAAAGATTCCCAACAAAGCACAAGAGCTAAGAAAGTAGCCTGGAACAGATCCTGTCACTTCAGAGGGCTCATGGCTCTACTGGCACTTTGGTCTCAGACTTCAAGTGTGCTTATCTCAAGGAGTGGGAAACAATACATTTCTGTTGTTGAAACCACTCAGTTTGTAGTACTTTGTTACAGCAGCTCCAGCAAAATCATAAAATGACCTAATATATTTTACTTTATAATAGACTTTTAGATGTTATTATAAAGCCAAATGTGTACACATCATATGCACGATAGAGTGAATTTTTAAAAGTACAGATTTTGTAGGAGCTTCATGTTCACTGGAAACAGCTATTTTTAACTAAGTTGCTGCCAGTTTAAAGCAAGTGAAAAAAAATTGACATGACTTTTGTAAAATGAAATCTCAATATGAATAAAACTCACTAAAAGGGCAACTCAAGATCATTTGCCCTTTTTTACAGTAAAAAAGAATAATCTTTATGAGCAATTAAGTAATGAAGTATATGAAAATAAGATGATCAATTTTTTGTATCTTTATATATTTTCATGCGGAAAGGATTTTCTCCTCTAATAAATTTTACTCGGCAAAAGCATTTTTTACCTCCAAATCGTAAATATATTGAAAATAACTGTCAGCAACAAGGTAGAAATAATCAATTTTAATATAAGACAACAGTTGTAACACATTTAATCAGAAATTCCAAGTACAAACAATATACTTTTATTAACATAAATATCATCCCTTACTAACACAAGCAAAAAAGCTCAATTCCATAGAAAGAAACGTTTGCCTGAACAGACTCCTTCCACTTATAAACCCAGACTACGGGCTAGGTGCGATGGCTCAGCCTGTAATCAAGGTGGGCAGATCACCTGAGGTCAGGAGTTCAAGACCAGCCTGGTTAACATGGCTAAACCTTGTCTCTACTAAAAATACAAAAATTAGATGGGTGTGGTGGCAGATGCCTATAATCCCAGCTACTCGGGAGGCTGAGGCAAGAGAATTGCCTGAACACAGGAGGCAGAGGTTGCAGTACGCTGAGATCGCGCCATTGCACTCCAGCCTGGGCGACAGAAGCGAAACTCTGTCTCAAATAAATAAACAAACAAACAAACCCAGGCTATATTATCCAGCACATCAGTTCTCAAAAGGAAGTAATTCTAGGTCTAAAGCTTCTCTGTAGATAACATCAGGTTCACGGACCTGCATGGAAAAAAATCGCTAAAAAAGTAGGACAGGACTATTTCTGTAATTTTTTTGTCACATGCAAACATTAACACAGATATTACATACCCTCCTAAATACACATATGCACAGAACAGTAACCTGTGCCTTAGACTTTCTAAGAGTGTGCTACACTAAGTTATGGATAAGAGATCACGTGCTGCTTCACCTTTCAAATAAAAGGCTTTTCAGTAAAAGGAAGACAATGACGCAGTGATTCTGCATTTGGATTCGGTGTGATAAAAAGTAACTGTATCGCATCACACGCTGACCTTCTCCAACCTTTTAATTTCTTTCCTAACACAGTTCAAATTATTTTTTCTACACTTTAGAGCTACATAGAACTTCAAGCTTTAGCTGAAATGGAGCCTTCTAATTATTTTTTAAGTTGGAAAAACTAAAAAGTCTAGCTTGGGTAACTTCTTCATAGCATAAGGGGTAGTATTTTATACTAATAAAAATATCCTTAATGTCAACAACTATCATTTATTGAACACTTTTTACGTGTGTTCTACACACTCGTTTCTCTTCACCTCAACCCTGAGAAATGGAAATTATCACTTTAGCAAGGACAGATTCAGAAGTTAAATACTCTCTCAAGGTCAGAGGCAGTAGAGGCAGGATTCAAACCTTAGCCTTTCCCACTCCAAAGCCAGGACTTTTAATTGCCTTTGAGGGCACTAAGCTTTGCAAAAGAAATCTATGGAATCAAAGTGGAAAAAAAGACGTCGTGTTGGTAAACGCAGTATTGTTGAGGTATGCTATAGAGAAGTGACCAACTGAGCAATCAAAAAGGTTAGTAATATCGAAGAAGTCCTTCCAGAGAATTCCTGGGCAGCACATATGCTTGGTTCTGTAAATCCGAAAGAACTTGCAGTATAAAGTTATTAGAAGCCTTCCAAACTACATCAACAAACAAAGCACTTACTTTCATAAACATGTCTGGCAGAGAGGTCACACATAACTCCAATTGTAATAGAAAAGCAAAAATAATTACATTAGGAAACATTTTTAAATAGTCTTACTTTTCCTGATTTCCTAAGTTGACAGGTATAATTGATTCTATAAAGGCAAGTCTATGTGATGAAGATGATGCACATGCGTGGAAACACACACACGATGTGAATTTCACGCTACATCTGTCACCCTAAGTTAACCAAGGTTCTGTAAAACACAACCCTCACCTTTTCTGGATGTGGTTCATAACAGGGCTGCCACTGGGGTAGCCCAGGAAAAACCTCACTACTTCCGAGAAATTATGAGAAAGCTCATGAATTAAGGCTAACCTATGAAAAACTATTTAACACTAAATTATGAAAAACATTTCGAGGTAAGTCATCAAAATCCTTAGCTAAAGATCCCATAAATTTGAACCTGTTTCGGAAAGACAAAAAATTAGTAATCACACACATTATGTAAGAAATAGGTCACAGCATAAGTATTCGCTTAATTGTCCCTATGTAAAATTCTTCGAGTCCAATGATTTTAATTATTAGAATCTAAATTAATTAGTTTTATTACAGTCACAACCTATTAACCCCATAAAGAAAAATGGGCACATCCACGATGTCAAATGTTCATTAAAAACGATTTAAAATACATGATGATTTTAAGTCTTCAACAATTTGGTTGCTGAAGGGAAATATTTAAGACCCGCAGACTGTGGTCATGCCCTGGCCTCAAAGGAGTTTGACGACCGAGTTCTCCGGGGAAAAGTTAATGTATGCGAGTCTCCAAAGGAAGCCCCCAGCCTTCCGTTCCTCTGGAGCCTGCGGGCGGCGGGGAAGGAGGGTTCTGACCACAGAAGGGAAAGGAGCGCAGACCGCCGGCCTCCGCGCCGCCACCCCCAGTGCGGCCACCGCTCACGCCAACACATCCCGGGACAGCCGGGCGCACCGACTCCGCAAGGTCACCCGGGAAAAGGCGACTTTACATAATCCCCGCCGCGCCGCCCGGGCAGCAGTGCAGCCGCGGTCCCCTTCCTGCAACACGGGCGCGAGGTGATGCGGGGGCGGCGAGCGGCGCAACCAGGCGGGACGCCGGGGACCCGCGGGCAGGCAGCGCGCACCAAGCCGGGGGTGGGGAACCGAGGGCGGACGCCCAGCCTGGGGATGCCCCGAGCCGCCGCCTTGGCTTGCGAGGCGGGGCGCGGCCGGCGCGGGCGAGGCGCGGTGCCGAGGTCCCCAAGCTACCGCCGGACGGCCAGCGCCGAGCGCCCCCCTCGCAGCTTCGCCCCGGACTGCCCCGGGACGCACCTGCCACGCGCCTTACCTGAGTGGCTTTGTGGAACTGCTTCTTAAGCCCGGCCACCGACATGGTGCAGGAGGCCGCGCTGGCGGCTGCGGTGCGGGAGGGAGGCGGCGGGGCGGGACGGGAGGGCCGAGCGGGGCGGCGCGCTCGCCTGGCCGCCGCTGGTCGTGCCGCCGCCGGGGCTGTGGGCGCGAGGGCGCGGAGCCTAGCAGGACGCGGGCTCGTGCGGAGAGACACTCTGACGTCAAGGGCGGGTGACGCGGCCTCTTAAAGGGGACGCGGGAAGCCCCGCCCCAAGCGCGGGAACGCCCGGGCAGGTGCTGTGGCGCGCGGTACCTGGGCTCCGGCGCCCGCTGCGAGGATGTGGCTCAGCGGCACCCGCGGGTGGATCCCCAGTCAGCGGGCCGAGGACGTCCTCCTGTCCCGGGGCTGGTGTTCCTGCCCCCGGGGGCTGCGGACGGGTCGCTGCAGATTGGCAGCGCAGGCACCCGCACGACTCAGGTGACTTGCTGGGCTTCCAGGTGGCCGCGGCGGCGCTGCCTGCAGACGGCTCTCCTCCCCTTTGAGCCTGGCCTCTCTGCAGCCGCAGCCCGAAAAGGATTGGCCTTCTTTCTGGACTAATGAATAAGTCATTGCTCCTTCTATGCCTTGCCGTGACTGGTTGGTCACAGAAAACATTTCTCTGCCCTAGTTTCAATATCCCTTAAGCCTATCTTACCTTAGGGAAAGCCACACACGGTTTTTCCCCCTTGTCTGATACAATTTAATGACTTAAAAGAAGAACAGGAACCCTTAAGCCTGGACAGATAAATAGAATTGAATTGAAGTCTTACTACAAACTAGCGTTTAATCATCTGGTTACAGAAATGAAAAAGCCCAAATGTGAACTTGGTGTTATGCTTGTGGATTTAGGGTTTCTGATCCGATAAAAATCAAAATATAATGTGAAAAAGCATGATACGAAGTTATATATAGATACTTCATATGTAACTAAGGAGGCATGACTGGCTAAAGTGAAACTGATAGATGACTTGGGAGCAGAGCAGCACCAAATGCCTTCTGTGCTCCGGTACTTAACCAAATCTGGTTTTTCTAGGACTGAGGAGCTGGTCAGAAAAAACTTAGACGCTGGCCCCGTATGTGGACCAACGTGATAAGAAGGAGAAGCCAAGATGGCAGAAATTGCCAAGGATGCGTAGAGACAGAAAGGCCAAATGGGAGTCCTAGAAATACTTTCCCTGTCTCCACAACTCCTGCCGTCTGATAGGAACCACAGACCCACCCCGACTCTTCTAGGCACTGCAGCTTGGGCACAGGGTGAACACCTGATACAAAAGGGTCCTCCATCCATAGAGCTACCAGTCATGGTCCTTATTGATAATGTGAACTGACACACACAAAAGCAGAGTCAAGCAGTGGTGGGCACTGGGGCAGTAAAGGTATGGACTAGGGACACGGGCTGCAGAGAGAGGCAGATGAAAGGAGCTATTCTCCGTGTGGTAGCCCTTACCGCTGTTCATATACCTTTCCCTACATGGCAGAATTGCACTTTCCAAACCTCTTGTTAAGTGGAGGCATGGTTACAAGTTTTGACTAGAGGGTTAGGAGGAAAAGTGACTATCACTTCTGCAGAAGCAATATGAGATGTGAGTATGAGATGCTGCAAAGCTCTCTTTTCCTCTGCCATAATATTCTAAAAAGCTGTGGTCTGCCAGCCAGGATCCAGAGTGAGACTAAAGCAGGGCAGAGTCCCCAGCTGATGTTCAATGGGCATGTAGCATCAGTGAGAAACATGAGTAATTTTAATCCACTGAGGCTCTGGTTGTTAGGAATAAACTTTTTTCTCTATGTTTCCAATTTTTAAAAGGCTACCAATTACTTGCATAATAGAAAAAAAAAGCATTTTATAGTTAATTTTTACTACCGGGTCCCTGATCTGAACAATGAAACGTTTTCATAAGATAGATCTTGGATGAAGCTGCCAAAAGATAGAGCAACTGATCTACAAAGTAGAAGGGCCTGGGATGGATAGGAGCTCTGCTCTCTAACCAAGAAAGATGTGAAATGGGGGCCTGAATCGCCTCCTTGGAACTTTGAATACTTAACTGAGCCCTACATTATACAAAAGGCAGCTTCTATCTTTCCCTGGTTCTTCATCCACCAACTTAAAGTCTCATGCTGCTTAACTTCAAAGAAACTACCTTGGGAGAAAAAAAACGACTTAAGGGCATTAAATCCTTTGGAAACCATTGATTCAGTCTCCCAGGCATCCTCTGCACCTCATCTGATATGGTTTGGCTGTGTCCCCACCCAAATCTCATCTAGAATTGTAATTCTCACAATTTCCATGTGTCGTGGGAGGAACCCAGTGGAAGTGATTGAATTATGGGGGTGGATCTTTCCTACACTGTTCTCGTGATAGTGAATGAGTCTCACGAGATCTGATGGTTTTTAAAACGGGAGTTTCCCTGCACAAGCTCTCTTCTCTTGTCTGCTGCCATGTGAGAGGTGCCTTTCACTTTCTGCCATGATTGTCAGGCCTCCCCAGCCACGTGGAACTGTGAGTCCAGTTAAACTTCTTTCTTTTGTAAATTGCCCAGTTTCGGGTATGTCTTTATCAGCAGCGTAAAAACGGACTGATATATCATCTAAAGCCAGCATTTATATTGAAGCCACAATTTATGCCTTTAAAGACCTTTGAGATGTCACCTTTGAAGAAATGTGTTAAGCTCCTCGTACTAGCAAGCATCATGGTAGGAGATGCTGGGACTCAGAAGGGAAGGTATCAAGACATGTGTGGGCTGGACCTTGAATCCCAAGGGATTTCCAGACCAGTAATTTGAAAAAATCTTCCTATGGACATTTATTGTTACTTGAATACAGAGGAATAAATACCCCAGACACTGAGCAATTCTAAACATGGATGCTGTCTTTGGTTGCAAAGAATCTTCAATAGAGGCTTTGGAGAGAAATGCAGAGAAAGGGGAATCAAAAGTCAATGAGGAAGAGCTTTGTTTGGTAAAAGGTTGTTGTAATTCAGCATGCTGCCCTAGTCTCCCGAGATAAAAATCAATGTAAAATGTTAAATAAGCCTAGATCCACTCAGGAAAGTCCCAATTAAATGAAACCCCCACACAATACCAGCTCACTAATTGGGCAGTAAATTTGTGGTCAGCAATAATCCCATCACATCATTCATGCACTATTTCTCCTTGCATTATGTTAAAGCTTCCGGCAAATACCAGACCTCTCATTTGCACAGAGCTGCTGCATCCCTGGCACCTTTCAGAGGGTCCCTAGCTTCAAGGAGGCAGAGGAAAAGCAGCAGCATTCATCTTTCTGAGCTTCAACCCCTGTCACTGTGCCTCTGGCTCATACCGGGGCAAACTACCCCTGACTTAATGTGTAAGCTCATTAAGCACAAGAGACATTGCAAAGCAAAGGCATTAAACTCCAACTTCTTATTTTGGAGATGAGAAAACAGAGGCAATGAAAGGAAGTGACTTATCCTTACTTTTTCTACTCTAGCCTTTAGCCTCAATTCAGGGTAGAGCCTCCAGTCAGTGTTAATAAATAGAAAAGGAATGAATGAATGAATGAATGAATGAATGAATAAAAGAATGAACCATTGTATCATTGACACTGATGCTTTCTTCTGACCACATTGGATCTGATGTTCAAAAGCCTTCACCAGATACTAAAACCTTGATTGTGCATGACCCAGACAGTTGTTTCAGGGTGAGTGGCACTTAACGTAAGATTTTGTGCCTTTGGATGCGACCAGTAGCATTGAACCCCCTACCCAGCTAGGGCAGGGCTAACATGCCCTTTCCTAGAGAGTAGAAAGCAGGGGAAAGACCATCTTTGTTTCCTTGCTTCCAGTTTTGTCATCTACCACCCACTTTCCAACAGATACACAGAGAGAAGCATTTTTTTTTTTAACCTCTTTTGAAGTGGATGTGTGGTCTTTCTGCCAGGGATGGCCACCTTCCCCACCTTTCCTTCTCTCCCATATAGCCCTCCTCCCTCCAAAGTACAGGGGCCTCTCCCTGCAAAAACTTCCTTTTCACCTAACTAAACCCTTTTAACCCAATCACAGAGGAGAAGAAAAGGCTTAACCAAGTGGGTGACTCATGTCAGACTCTTATATCTGTACCATGGTCACTATTTCCATTCCAGTTTGAAATAGTTCTAATTTCTCCACAAAATCCTGCCACCTCCAGTGCCCATTTGCAGTGTTTTTCCTTTGAAGTCTTTCCCCATCCTTTTACCCTCATGTCCCCTCTTTATTTTTGAGGCCTCAGCCCTGATTGTGTTGTATTTGGTCGAATATGTACTGTAGACATGCATATATAGTCTCTGATGCTTGCTTACCTCTTTGAGTGCAGTGTCTTTATAACTCTTCACAGATAATACAAATACTTGCTAGATATGGGCTAATTGCAGTTTTAAAAGCCTGATTAAATTTTGAAAGCTAGGTCCAGCAGAGGGTCAAAAAGACTGGGAAACTGGCTGACCAGATTGTTCAGTGGTTATGGTTACTACTTCCTCGATGTGTCCAAGCCCGGTTCTCCAGGGTCCTGACAGTTCAGCTCCCAATGCCTTTCCCATAAATTCCCCTTTGTTCACTCAGGCAACACTGCTTTCTCTTGCTTGCAATCAAAAACACTTGGCGGTACATCCCCTTTCACCTTTCTGCAATAATATTCTAATCTCAGATCCATTTCTTGCTTGGCTAGCAACTCAGATATTTAGGCAACTAGAGTTCCTGCTAAGCACTGCATTAGGCTTCCTTCTCAGAAAAGGGTGGACAGATTGAGTGACAAGGAGTATAGTCTTTTAGCAAATTGTCAGTTCTCCCTATAAGATATTGACATTCTGATTTATAAATCAAACCTTTTGTTTATGTGATTGATATGGTTCAGGCTGCCAGGGTCTGAACCTCCCAATCCCCTGGGAATTGGCATCTGAATGCTTGCAAATAAATGCCAAGCAACTGGACTCTGAGACAGCAGTGGCACTTCTGTAATAAGAATCATCTTAATTAAGGGCAAATTATTAGGGCATCTTTACCATTGGCTTATTTATTCTATCCTTGTCTGAATATTATCACTAGAAATGTTGAAGGCATATTGTTAACCCTGAACATAGGATTTGGCTAGTCAGCCTATT